TTACGTGATATATGATATGATATAGGCTGCACAACAGAAATTTCCATGGGAACAATTCGTGACTATCATATGTTAAATCTTCCTACAGTAAATTGCAAATTTGGTGTGATTGAAAAATTAACAGTGCAGATAAGTTGAGTACACGTATAGTCAATAAAGGGATGTTGGTACACAGAGCCTCAGACAACATCACTCGAAACGCTGACTGACTGCTTACCTTATTTTACAAAGGCTATGAACACTATGGACATGGCGTTCAGTTAGAATTTGTGTACGACCTAGCGTAGGATAATCGGTAATAATAAAAACTAGTTAAATCTCCAAGCGGTTTGTTTGTCATGAATTTTCGTTTGATATTATCTGCAGAAGAATAGCATTTTGGAAACACAACATTATTTGTGTTGTTGGTGTCGAATAATGAATTCAATACCAATAAGAGGAGTATATCGGTCCTCCACGATATGTATTATCCTTGATTACTTCCAGATAAATGTCATCGAATTAATGCACTTTAAATCAGCTGACGTAAATCTTACTGTGATTCTGAAAAAGATTTAAATGGCACTCCTAGCTCCAGTTTGTGAGAACACTATAACTCACTGGTATACAGGTCCATTCAGTGGATGCGTCCAAAGTAGGACGAAACGCAAATCTACCATTTAACTGTCATTACTTATCAAATAAAATGTAAACCGCAATGATGAAAAGCAGACTAAAGACAAAAATTATCCTTTTCGATAACTTCTTCGGGTATTACAGTAATATATTTATAGTAGTTAAGGTACAACTGATGTTGACAACATCAATATTTTTTTAATAAAATAGAATCAATAAGATTAAGAACCCAAGATGTATATGTGGGTTTATTGTAGCTAGATTACAGTTCAAAAAACTATGCACATGATAACATGCATAAATACGGTCATAATCTGAACGTCAGACATCAAAGTAAATGATCAAGAATAACAATAAATATGTAGTCATGAATGATCATAATTATTATTACTCTTCGTTCATTAATCAATGTTCAAAATTTAAAATGGGTGTCTTCAATCAACAACAAAAAATTGCGCATACAAGAGACAATTGTTCCGTCTGCCTTCTATGACTGACCTATCCCTTTAACCTTTTAAACCAAACATGAGTTTATTTGTCAATCTGTTTACTGCTTACAAAATAAGAAAATGGTTTGTACATTCATTACATCTATAGGATTAAGTCTTTTGAACAGTGGTAGGAACATATTTTTGGCAATGAAAGACAAAGAGAAAGTCACAGGAAAGCATTTTAATATTATTAGGTGTATAAAAATAAATCTTCAAAACTCCCAGTCAATACACACAAATATACTGACGAATTGCCAGCGCCTCCGCCATACACAAAAGCCGAAACCTGACACTCTTTGTACCATCTAGCCTCACCCTGTAGATGATCTTGAAAGACGACTCTGGTGGAGCTACGTGACCTGAGTTCACCAAATGCTCGAGGATTGAGCTAGTAATTGTCTTGCATTGTCCCTTTGCTAACCATGCCGGATAATGTTCAGAGATGCGTTTGGAAAGTGTGCGTTTTGTGCGGCCAATATAACTAGCTCCACACGAGCAGGTGAATTTATAAACACATTGAGGTGGCCCAAAGCGGCAGTTTATCCTTTACACATCCATTGATCATTTGTCGGCTGTATAAATTGATACGTAGCTCAGCCATAAAGAAGGCTTTCCGCAGTGATCTGCATAACCGATTCTGCAGGATCTCAGCTGCGGTGTCACCTTTAAATTCAACACTCATAAATAGCAGTTTTTCCGGCACCGTCTGTGTTCTTTCAGGCTTTTGCTTTAACTTCATGTTTTTTCTCGATGAATCTTGGAGGATATCCATTCTCTATGAGGACCTGTCTGAGTCGCCCCAGTTCCCCATCGATTTTATCACTAGAACATATCCTTCTTATTCTTGAAGACAAGGAGTGGATCAGGTTTCTCTCTTCTCAAAGGGACCCAACTATGAAAATTCGTGTACTGACCATTCCATTTTGGTTTCTTGTAGATCGATCTTTGAAGAGAACTATCAGATCTCCTTTTAAGAAAAACATACAAAAAATGGAATTCCGAGTTCATCTCTGATTTCGACGTGAACTGGATGGCATGATGGCAGCTGTTGAACTCTTTAGTTATCAATTCGATGTCGGTATTGTCGTCACATATGATGAAAGTATCATCCATGTATATTTGGTACAAATGGAAACTATTGATAGTAGGCTGTAACATACTATTCTCCAAACTTACCAAGAAGCAGTCTGCAAGTAAAGGACCCAATTGTGACCCCACTGACACTCCATCTCTTTGTCTTTAAAGCATGTTGTTGAACTTGAATTGGACATTTAAAGTGCACCTCAATAGTAGTTTTTTTTAAGTAGTGGATCGGAACAACTAGTTATATTGGCCGCACAAAACGCACACTTTCCAAACGCATCTCTGAACATTATCCGGCATGGTTAGCAAAAGGACAATGCAAGACAATTACTAGCTCAATTCTCGAGCACTTGATGAATTCAGCTCACGTAGCTCCACCAGAGTCGTCTTTTAAGATCATACACAAATATATCTTTAAAATGCAAAATAAACCCTACGAGGAATGAACATTTATTTCAGTGATCTGACAACCAAATAGAAGCATACCTGTGTACTGAGTCATTCAACCTAAAAGATGATTATCTTTCAGCCTATATATATATATATATATATATATATATATATATATATATATATATATATCAGATTGAAAGCTTTATAAGAAGTCTAGATGTTGATAAGTTAAACTTGCAGACTAAAGAAAGCAGAGGTTAGATGCCGGCAGCGATGAGACTCAAAATCTATCACAATGAATTTGTCTTTAAACTTCCTTAAGTTTTACAACTACAAAATTCAGGATTTAGTTGCTTTATATCCAGCTGTATTCTTCCCTTACTTTTATCTACCTGCCAATGTCGTATGTTTGAACATTAGTAGTATTAAGCAATAAAATATTTATGATCTAATGACGCAGACAGTCAATCCTACATTTTTTGAAATATGCTGACCTTATCCACACTATGAAGAATCATTCCTCGGCAATAAAATATCTAGGAGGCCAAACACTAGCTTTCATTACTTAAGCAGATCATGCAACTGTACTTCATTATGGAAATTAAGTTTATATCACAAACATCAAACAAAGTTAGTGTCCTGACTATGACCTGTTCGTAGCACCATTGAAAACAAGCTGTCCGAGATAACCTCTCCAGTAACTGATTTCTAGTTAATTACTCATACTTTGTGGTATATTACGCTTACATGTTCTGAATGAAAACAGCATCGTCAGATGACTCCTAGTTAACATGGATACACAGCTTTCCAGTAGTCTTTGGGCGCATCGAGAGCAATTCCACCTGAGACGAGGAACGGAGATTACACCAAAATGCATCTAACGACTGCAAGCGAAAGTGATGCTACATTCTGTAGGAAAGATGTGTACCTCAGTTCTGCATTTAAAATGTTGCAGCTGTCAACATGAAAGTTGTGGGTCAAGACTACTGATGATGTAATAAAAACGTCTGAACGAGGTAAAATATCCTATTGAGCAGGTGACAATCTGGTGGGAAGACTATCTCACGCGTTCAAATATACAACAAACTCCATCTATCGTAGAGACAGAAACTCTCCTGGATGCCAATAATATATATATTACTGCGATGCTGCCTTATGTCCTAAAAACGTTTGCCTCAACCCGATTGATTATGTGGACACTAAGAACATACTTGAACCTTGGTTGGAGGTGGACTTCTGAAAGTCTACACCTCTTGTAGCAGGTCAAGTTATACGCAGGAAGACACTATGAAGTAGCCGCCTTAAAACTTATGAAAAGCATGGCATCTCAAAGTCATGACAAAATGCAAAAAAGGCGTTTGGCTCAGGTTACACGTAGACAACGTTAGCACTGCGTGTACAACCACTCCATATTTTAACATTATCATTATTATTAAGAACGCAAACTTGCCACATCATGGGGACCTTGAGATGTGCCTCACAAACTGCTGTCTTATAGCATGTGAGAGCGCTGGGATACCACCCGAGAGGCTAGACCGAAGCAGAGGGTTGTCTTAAGAGACCATCTCCAAGTACTTGACTTGAAGTTTGATCTAGAAGGCAGTGGGGCAGCGTCATAAACTGAATTCCTATGGTTACCAGTACCAAGAAAAGTTCACGTGCCATTCGATCCTTTCGAATTCTGAAGCTCATTTACACCATAGGTTTGGAATCAAGGTTTCCCAGTTCCCCAAGGTAGACCTACATCTCTACTAGTCCAGTCGAAGGTGCCAGACGTTCGCTCTCTCACTTTTGTGAGGAACCCCCGTATTGTACGAAGGTAGTGAATAGGACTTACCCAGCCGAGGCTATGAGAGCGTGACTGCATGAGAGCATTTCAAGAGAAAGATCCTCCCTCAGCCTCACCAGGTTGTTTATGGAGGTTCATTTCTTAGCAAGTTACTCAATGTGACTTCTCCTGATAACAATAGGCAATCCTTTGTTAAACATATTCAAGGCATTATGTGTTCGACACACTACAAACCTCACGTTGAAGTGTCAATTTAGTGTCTGGTTAAGAAAAAATTTTAACATCGAGTGCAAGGTAATTAAGCTAGGTGAACGCTGATGATGAACACGGCACTTGGTAACCACCTCCTTAGATTTATCAAACATAGCAGATTTGAAACTATTAATTGAATTAGGTGATGTCATACTTTTATTTTAACATTTATGTGGAGATGGAAAGGTACCAGAGTTTCATCTCCATTTTACTCAGACCTGGGTTTGCTACGAGAAAACTGTGTTTATGCAATATTTACACCAAGTTTCACATTAACGACAGATCCATTCTTAGTGGAATATAAACTAAGCTAGCCACTATCGAAAAAAGTAAGTACTTAGAAAAAGAGACAGGTGATAAAGTGTACAAGCCGTTTCGTCGGTCACGAGTATATGGAAATATAAATTGATGAAAATATAAGTGAAGACGTACGCAGACTGAAAAACATACTTTCTGCTTCTGACATAAACACAGGAATCACTCAAAACTATTTCTAGGGATGAATATGCGACTGACGTAGTCCATCACAAAGAACTAGCTTTACTAAACAATCCGCTTAACTAGAATCCCAAGATATTAAGAACAATAGATAACCGTTAAATACATTTTTTATTGATGACTATCAACATGATAACGTCAATGTGAAATTTTAGAAGGATACACCTCCAGATCGAAAAATTGGAAGCGCACAGATACTGAGATCATATTTGGTCATTCGGCTGGTGATCAATTACGTCACAATGTGCGGGCCAGTAAAAAAGACTTGATAATTCAAACAGCAGATTTGCTAAAACTGATCCGCAAATGAGAATTTTCTGTTAGCTGACTGTTGTGTAATTCCTGTTATAATATAAAAAGATCACTAAATACATGTACTTACAATAAGAGCTTGAATAGCAAGATCAATAGTTTCCAACTGCACGAGAGCCATTTTGTTATCCTTCCTATATAAAATAAGGGTAAGGTTTTCAAAGAAATATCAAATTACATAAATCGGAAGCCTGTAACTTCGAATCCTTTGGTTGCAAATAACACACGTATATCACTCTCAACCACTGAAGGAGGTATGTTGCTCAAATGCAATACGTGGCTTGGAGGATAAATATTTTGGAAATTCTTCGAATTTGGCTTCCGGAAGCGGTGTAAAAGACTGTTGGTGTAGTCTTTAGTCAAACCATTCTCAGTTTCTTCTTTAGGTAACTGAACAATATTATGTCGAGAGACAGCAATTTTCATTGGTTTGTCCCAAAGGCGTTGACCGTTAAGATATTGCAGAGCTAAATAATTAGTAATAAACGTGCACAGATTTACCAGTAAGAGCCTGCTGAGGGTCAGTGAACTGAATTAGTGCTGTGTCCTTCTTATTGAACATAATTTTTACACGAGTGACGTCTCCATATACACCTGCAATGCAAAGTTGTGTAACATAGATATAGGTTAGTCATTTAAATGAAACGTCAACTTTCCAAATTGCTGAAATACCCCCGCCAATAGCAAGAGAATCGATTTTTATTAGAAAGATGGCATGAATGTAAATATGAGAGGTTGCAGTGCGCTCGGATATTGCAGATCACTATACTAATGACCCAAAAGAGAACTATTTTTTAGACTCTGAATTTCACTAGAATTAACGAAGCACAAAACTGCCGTTTTTCTTCCTATTATAATTTCCCAGGTATAAGATATATAATATTATCCATTTACTTAGGCTATATGTGTGCACATTTATAAGACCCATTGCTTGAGAGCCATGTGCCAAAGTCAATGAACCGTGGGCAGTTAAATAACATCAATGATTTATGGGTTACAAGCAGCCCATGACGATTCTCAGCCTAGTCATTTTGAGAAGTGCTTCCAACGGTATGTCAACCAAGGACTCAAAGTATTCAAGTATACCCAACATAACATGATTCATTTTTTTAAAGTGTAATTTTCCTGGCTAAATCGGAGCTACGGTGCTGCAGCAAAGTCATAATATAGCGGATCGTAACTACTGTTATCTAAATCTAGTTACATAGATCTGGATCTGCAGGTGGATAATCTAATATTTCATATACGACAAGTCATGTCATTAAATGTTTAGTGAACCTTAAACTGATACCTGTTGATACTTGCAAATAATCCGTAAAACTAAAGTGCATTCCCTTGGTATTCAGAAGAGATAAAAACATTACAAAAATCGAGGTCTGCCGAGTAGACGTATGCTTTACTGCAAATTACCAACCAGGCAAAATATAAGCACTTAACGATTAGTGAGAATCCTAAGAATGTATCAGTAACATTTCATCCCCTAGGGCCACTGGTGGTCACCGCTGCACATAATTTGATGTTACTTCCTCATAACACAGGTTTCATCTTGAAAATTAACAAAAGAAACTAAAACACCTTGTTGTGTAATCGAAAGTCAATTTAAAGAATGAGAACAGAATTAATACAGAACTTAAGAGAACAAATAGGTAATGTTTACGAACAAGAAAATTTGTAATGTGTAACAGTAGAACAAGATAAGATATAAACCTACCAAAGAGTGTAAAAAGAGCATCCGGATAAACCCTCTTAACGAAGATGAAGGTTAAAACAATGAATCCGAATTTAATATCACGTGGAGTCACACAATACATTCAGATATTCAGCAAGATTGGACAAAAACACCGGAATACGAAGAGAAACGGTCGATTTGGTAGCAGAGGTGAACAATCATAATCGTATGGCCAATCAACGGATAAAGACCCAAGGTTGTGAGCAGATGGTGTGAATTCAAGAAAACATGAAACGGAAAATAGAATATTAAGTTAGGCATGATTCTTTTCGGAATGAACCCATAAAATTAATGTATCAAATCGAAAACTTACATCCTCGTTGAGATTAGATACTATTAGGACTGTGCTTCCATTGTTGTTAGGTGGTGGGCGAACACCAACGGGGGTCACATGTGAAGAGATGGGTGACTGTACTGACCCAATTACACTTGCATTGCCAGCAGACATGTGAGGAAGCACGCCAGTTTGGACAGCGCCACCTTGAAGAGCTGCAAGAATGGCTGACAAGTTAGGAGACCCTGACATCGACTGAGCACCTGGACCACTATTTTGAGATGTAAGAGCCATAAAACTTGCAGTAGCAGCTGCTGCTGCAGGAGTCAAAGCCAAACCTGATTGCTGAGCAAGAGCTGCCAACTGTGCAGTTAGTTCACTGATTCCCAAATTGCTTGTGTTTGGAGGTGCTATCATTCCTACTGGGAGGTGAATACCTTGATGTGAGAGACTGGGTACGATTGAATTCTGAAAATTTGAAGAGACGTGACTGGGATTGTTGTTTTGATGCCCACCACTTCCACCTGTAGGCCTCCGAAGACTCATAAGTTCATCTTCAGTTAGTGGATTGTTCTGATAATCTCTGCATCTATCACTTTCCTGACGAACCTCCAAAGGACCACGGTTTTTAGAAAACTGCACGCGAAGTGAGCAGCATCCAGTGTATATATTTTGACCATTTAGATGCTAAATCTTTATTAAAATTGAAGCAAAGGAACTTACTAGCATTGCAACGAATGCATGAATATGGTTACCAAACTCGACTAGTCCATGGTATTGATTGTTTTTAAGATATGTAACAATTCTTAGTATTTTCCCATACCGGTAAAATATCTAGACGAGTTATTAGTATGGAAAGATGCTACCTTATGAAGTATGGTGTGATTGATCTGTTGACCCATGATATTATCAACCACAACACGCAAAACTGTAGTAGGTATGCCGGAATTGGCACCACTGAGGTCCTGCTGAACAATACAGTTTGCATTTTGGATTGCGCTGCCAATGCTGCTATTTTCCGAATGTAATTCAAGGTGCTGATGCTTTGAATATTGCATAACTAGCGTTCGTCCTCTCAATGTGACCTGATACTCACGATAATATGTAACCATCATGATCGCACTTTCCAAACATTGCATTTCCAAAAGAGCCTGCAATACATGTTAAGAACTTAACATACTTACTTGATTTGCTTTCTTTGAGAGAACCATATTTTCTAGAAGGCCAAAGGGTATCCCCAAAAGTGCTATTTCATGCTCTGTAGCATCGTCAGGCATGTTACGAATATGAACAACCTTCGATGGTACAGTCTCTACATATTCAATTCTTGACTGAGAGGATGTTAACTTAAGAACAATGAAGTTACCTTTTTATTATCGTTAGTATCAGTTTCCATGGGAGCATGACCATTGCCGTTCATTATGAATCCGTTGGCTTCATCACGCTGTTAAGCAAGTTAAATCAGTTCAAAACAATTGTTAGAAATTCGTAACATTAACATGTCAGAACAAAGGTGTGATGAATAGTTGTCAATAAGATTTCCACAATCGAATGTATCATGAGATTCATCTGAACGTGACATCGATGGGGGTCACCAGAAGAAGGTGCTCAAACCGAGGTCGAGTAAAATACGGTTGGAGTTTAGATTCTCTCAGTGGTCAATGACTGGAACTCCTTACCTGATTCAGTAGTAACACCACCATCGGTGAACACTTTCAAAGAGAAACTAGATCTCTGCAGAGATTTATATCGTGAGGATTAACATAGGCAACAAGAGCCTTCTCTCCTTATATTCTGAATCTGGATGTAACGTAAGAGGATGCAACCAACATGTATGTAGGTTTGTATTACAATATAATCTAAGTTAGCATATAGATGAACGTAACCTTATTGCATATACCACTTATGGTCGCAGTCAATCACACTGTGCAATGATATGAACACGAAAGACAAATATGAGCTGAGCGTTATTCACATAACTTATTTGGCGCTCAAGCAACGTGTCACGCTATATACAAAGACACTCCTACTTTAGCATACCAATACTTGGATAGTGAGTCACTGTGTTGATGAAGGTGAAATGTCCACAGAAACAAATTAACACGGGCCACTGGTAATATAATAGTAAACTGAGACACGCAGCATAACAACTGGACTTCTGCCAGATTCCTGGGTAACATCCAAGTGCAGCATATTGTTAATCTCAATAACTTGTTCATAATTAACATTTGGAAACTGACGACTATACATAAGTATATACATAACTCATAGGTCTCATTGATATGCTGAATAAGGTCAAATAAAGCAACTATGATTTGCATGAAGCAAATAATTATCATAAACAAACCCTGACAACTCACCTTGCGTTTACTTGACTGAAAAAGAAAGATAAAAAAATCGGTCAAATAGCGGTTATGCATTAGGTGCGTTTCAAACATTTATTTACAGGAAGAGCAATATCGGAAACAAGAGTTGACACGACGTACCATCAGAGCCGTATAGGCGCCCGTAGACATGGCTGTCATTCGAAAGTTCAGCAGCCATTGATATGTTGTTTGATTTGTTTAAAAAAATTATAAAACAATTCTTTTGAATAAGCAATTTCACTGTTATTATGCACTGGTTGTTTGGTATTAACCTTGTTCTGTTTAGGTAAATTTTAAGAGCGCGCATTTTGAGCTTGCGAAAGAAAAGATAATATCATGGGATTTATTTCAGCCTTCAGAGCTTTTCAGGCAGAAAATATAGCACCGCAACGCTTGAAGGTCACTTACTGATCACACTCTACAAATTTAATTGAGGCCATCTAAAGATGTGTGGATCAAGATACTTTCTGTTACTCTGATAAGGAGGTTTAGATGAGTTTTATCAGATTTCTAAGAAAACATCGTATACATTCAGTATTTACAAGATAAACCAGCGACATTCAATGGTACGGAAGGTATAAGTTTCACAATGTCATATGTTTTTCGTACAAATAGCCTTTTAAGTTCCATCAAGTCATCCTAGAGTGGAAACATAAAACTGAGTGCAGTATCATACTCTAATAAAAAGATCGACACAGAAATATGTCCCCGAACAGTTTAAGTATTTCCATCACCAGTAAACTTAAGTTAACTTGTCACCTTCTAAGGTACTTAGTTTGAAAGATAGAGTAAACTTCTCTTCACCATTTCTACCAAAATAAGTTGTGGGTTGGAAAAATATCTCCTCATCCGCCTAACGTTGGGAACATGACATGGAAGCAAGAGCAATAACCCCAGATTTTTGATACATGTCAGATTCCCAATTAAAGTCGTAGGTCAATCTCATTTCTATTAAGGGAACATGCAAAGAGTTAATCAACACATATTATTGACAAAAAACTTACAAGGCTTAAATCCACGTATCCCTGTGTTGCTAATATTTTAAACTCATTCTACTGAGTTGTTGAGAATCCAAATGAAGTTCAAAGTTGTATATACGAAATTGGTCGAATTTTTATGTAGCAATTTGTGGTAAATTTTTATCCTTTATTTCGTTGCAGTATGGATTCTTTTGCGTGTAATATGCTGTCAGAGAGCTCAAAATTGAAATTCACAGTCTCTAGCATCTGATCTCATAACGGCTTCATTAACACCTGAAATTTTGTACAAGTCATCGGTAATATCAGTTAAGGTCACAAGCCTATATCATTTATAGAATCATGGAAAACCAAGGAGCACTAGACAGCCGTTTCGCTCTAGTTCATATGTCTTCATCAGTGCCAACCGTTGATATCAGTCAATGACATGGAATGGTCTAGATAAAACTCTGCAATACAAAATTTTATAATTATTTATAATTACTGCAGGGTCCAAATCTGCCTCTGCAGGTACCTTTGAATGAGGTCAGTAATTAATAAGACATAAATCTGTTGAATAGACTAGTGTACAGAAGAATCACTGCTGGTTAACAAGACTGCGAAATTTAGCTGAGGAATTCTCGGTCAATGAAGCCGTCTTTGGAAATGCAACCGAATTTTCCGGTTGAAAAGTAAGCATTGCTTATCCGTGTGAAAATACTAAACAATTAAATTGGTGGCCATAAAAATATGTCTTCATTATTCAAAATGGAAGTGTGAAGGTGAACCCAAGCATCAAACTACTTGATTTTGTTTCATAGTAATACCAGCGTAGACAGTGCTTGGTTTTGGACATCAGGTTCTTTATACCGATCACCTTCTAATGGCGTGCTGATTTTATGGTTTCATACGCATCATCAGTTGTTCCGAAGAGCAACATAACATATGTAAATTTTAGTAGAGAGGGGGGATAAAGGCTACTCAGTATCTTCGGGCATGGCAAAACAAAAGTTCCAGCAGATGCTCTAACTGCGTAAGGAATATGATAGAAATACTTTAAAACAAATGACGTAACATCTGATGTAATGACGAGATTACCATGGGCCGTAATTGAAGACCAACTGCCTGAAGAAACTCGAAATGTAATTGACCGACTCCATTCAACCTGCGAATATAATGCAACGAAAGGGCGGCACTTATGATTTTCGATAGCATTAGCAGATAATAAGAGTGGTGGTTTCTTTAAATTAACATCAGGGAGACTGACAAGAACACAGGTTTTGTTAAAACTGGCTTTTAGCACATAATATGAAAACGTCAGTAAAAACAATATGTCCTGCCTCCTAGTGGGATATATAAATTTTCATTTACAGAAGTATTCAGTGAAGTGAGTGAAATAGTAGTAAAAATCTCTTGACGTGATTAAATTCATGGAGTTATGAATGGTAATTCCACTCTGAGTGAGTGAAGTAACGTTAGCAGATGTCAGTCTTGCACCTCAACTTCTATGTTCAAACAAGTTGGGTGATTCCAGGCTAGCCAATTCCCATTTCTTTTGCAATGTTTTAGCATCGTTTATTTATTTAGTGTCTGAAATCTTGGATGAGGGCGTTAAAAACAGTCTATATGAGAATGTCGCGGAGATTACGTTCGTTTTACGACTCAATATTCACTAACTTTAGTCTCATCAGAAACACTGGATAAGAACTTTATTCGAACATGCATTTCTCATCACAAAATCATATTTGGGCCACGATACGTAGTCCTGATTAGGTCACCATGTGATGCACTTGCTTGTATATGAAGAGAAACTCCCCTGTGAATTTTAATTTTAAGTCTTTTCCTAGCCAATATTTAGTTGATTCTGTAAGTGAGCCTAAAATCCGTCTGCAATATATCGTGTCCAAAGGCAATTACACTGTCATTCGTCCACGTAGTTTGTCATTGCGAAAATACACTTCTCCAGTTCTAGTTTGAAATCAACAGAAAGTAATAGTTTGCGCCAGTTGGGTTTTAGGTTAACTTTGATTCTAGGAGGTGAGATAAGGCTACCGAGACTGGATAAATTGCGTAAGTTTCTCTGCCTTTCTTGGAGATATCTATATTGCACTTGAAGGATATGACATTCAGAAAAAGCGGGTAATCTAAAATATGGGTTTTTCTGCTTATACTCCTCGATGCTTTCTGGTAACCAGCAATAACATTAGTGGATGGTGTGGCTAATATACGAGAAACCGCTCTCCACTCCATAAATCTCCTTATGCCATGTTATGGTGTATCACTAATTGTTGTCCCGACTCTACATGCAAGTGCTGATCATAAGAAGTATGAGGTAAACGACGACTGAAAGTCATATTTAAACGAAAAGGGTGATTTATTTGATTTGTGCACCATCTTATCACAATGAGGTCAGAAATATCCCTACGCTTCAAAACCCTTTCTTACATGTTCAATGTCCAACAGTTGATTGAATGAGCCTCACAAAGACACCCTCAGACAACTGCTTTTTACCATAGACTGTTAGAATCTACCATTTTGCTAGCCCTAGTACATGACACAAAGCCTGGGCACGAAGACTCAGCAGTCTTTCTCACCCTCCAAATTGCTTTTATCCCATAAGGCAGATATGGATGCCATAAGACAACTCCAAATCCTGGGAAAGAGCAATCACGCTTTGCTCCTTTTTCAAGTTCCCAGTCGCAGCAGCATTATGGGACGAAACCAAGGTTAGATCAAACGTCTGGGAAGCTTGTATAAACTCCATTGTCTCAGCAGTTGAATCACAGGATGAGCACGTTAGTCCACATGATTGCATGGAGGCTGTATTCAGCCATTCCAAGCAACCTTATGTGGACATTACTCAACTGTTCGTCACTTTGACTGTCCCACAGGGCCCAAAACATGGTGTCCCATGGAGACTCCTAGAGTCATGCATAATACTCGGGCGTAAACATAAACTCTGGAACCTGTTTATCATGCCCTAGACTTCTTAGGCTGTAAAGCTGTACACCATCTCCTGGAACTAAGATATTTCCCGAATCCTTTAGTCAAGGATGAAGCCCAATGCGAAGCTAGAGGAAATTGCAACGCAACATACTGTTTCGCACCTGAGCCAAAGGAATAATACATTCAGCGTCGACTCAGACGTGACAACTGTTGACCGCACAATCAAAGAGGACTAGTATGAAGCGAAAACAATTACAGACTGCTACTCTAAAGTTTCCACACAGCAGCCGTCATCTCCCTTAGTATCAACTCCAGTCCCGTCGAAGTAATACAGGACAGATTTAGTTGACATCAACTATAACACCATATTCTATTCTCTAAAGAAACTAGGTTCAGGGAAGTCAGTCCCACCCAATGTCTCATTCAAGGCTTCGATTTACCTCTCTTCAGTGGAAAGTGACCACATGACTAGGAAGGAGTCATTGTAGCCCCCATACACCAAGGAGGATAAAGATAATGTCCTGCAAACTGCAGGCGTTTCCGGTTTACAATACCTTAACCAAAATGCCGGACAGAATCGTCAAGAAACCAATCATGGCATATGTGGAAAACAACAACTTGCTGTCCAGAGCACAACATGGCTTACAGGGAAACCCCTCATTGACGACAAACCTTCTAGAATGTCAAGCTGCAAGAAACTCATTGATGTTGTTTTCCCAGATTACAGTGACGCTCGTGACAGTAACTCGCTCAAGAGTGCTGATTACATCACAAAGTTTTGGAATTAGCGGCAGTTTACTACACTGGGTCAGGGTATTGCTCTCAGTTAAGAGATGAGATCAAACCAAAACCTTCATCCTGGACAACAGTACGTAGTGGAGTGTGACAGAGAACCTGACCTGGCCCCCTCTAATACGTCATGTATATCAGTGAGTTACCTGTGCTAATCGAATCCCAAGCATTCTCCACGCAGATGACTTAAAAGCTTGAAGACAGCTGAAGGGTGACAGTGACAGGCATAAGTTGCAAGAAGATCTCAACGAAATTTTGGATTGGTCCGAGGGATAGATGCTGCCAATCAACTTAGCGAAATGCGCAACCCTGCGCACGCAAGCGTTGGCCAATACTAACTAGAGGGAGTAACAATCCCATCAGTTTCGACACATGTGGAACTAGATGTCATCATAAGTCATCACCAAGGTACACTGTCGCATGGTGGCAGCTCGAAGTTTCAGATCTTTATGGGCAATTTGTATGTCATTTATTAGAATCACCACTGATATATCCGCGTCTCTATGTACATGTTTGATGAGGTCAAAACTGGAAAACTGCATCTAGGCAGCCAGTCCAAGTCTTTAGGGGAAAGCAAATATTCTAGAAAGATTGCAGAGGAAGGTAGCACATATGATCCTTGGCATGGTCAAATTATCATACGCTGAAACATTAGACAGTATGAATCTCTTTTCCTTGTCATACCGTGGACAGAGAGATCTTGTTGCAAAGTTCAGAATTTTATCGAATGAAAACGGACCTTACCTATTTTCCTTTTCGATTCCTACAACGTGAAAACTCCTTAGAGGACACAGTAGGAGAATTTAATAGTCACGGAGGAACTATATCAACGTGGAGTACCGGTTATCACACCAATTCATAAAATCCTGGAGCCAACCCTCAGAAGAAGTAACGTCATCGCCCTCCCATGACTCATTCAAGATAGGCTTGCGAAACGTCAGGAATTTACTAGAGAGGGTTAACATGGGACTCAAGCCTTCTATCCTCAAGCAGCAAATCTGAACCCGAAGTGTGGTGAAGTAGCTACGAATGGTCTTTGAGCATTAGCATGGCACTATGGGTGTTTTCCAGGGTTGCTGCAAATATGTTCTTTTACATTGCATCCAGTGTTCATGGAACCTCATTCGTCAACGAAGTATATTTAGTTATACCAGCTAATGAAAAGTCATATCGAAACACGTTTGCACCACCTATGTTTACACGTTCATATTTTGTATCATCTCGAGAGCAAGCCGAATGTTTAATTTCGAGACCTGCTGATTCACTTCAAAGAAACCGTCTAGTTAGGCTGCTTGAATGGCTCTAGGAAACAAGTAAGTTGAGCGGCTTGAACAACTCTGAACTCGTTATTCAGTTGTTTTTGATTAAAAATAACTCTTGCGGTCGATGTGTGGCCATTTATCCAGCTAGTTCTGGACTCCTAACTCTCTGCTCTTAACACCGCAACTAGAGATGGAAGATTATGACACTCAAGGCTGCTGAAAGGTTTATTTATTGTCGCCGATTTGAAGAGAGTGCGGAGACACACATTCCCATCATACCGAAGCTGTCGAGCTCTGGAAATTCAGTATTTCCCTCTGTGTTTCACTCTGCACATATAAACAAATTGTTCACTAAAGGTTCGATGGATTTGACGAATTTCTTTGATCATATGCACATTCATAAGAAGAAGGGATTTCCACTACGCTCAAAGTCATCACCGCTAATATAAGCTTAAGCCTTGCAGTCATAATAGTCTGTGTACTCATGGGCGGACATTTTGACTATTTTACGTACTTAGTGATCTGTTATTGCTTGGTCAGTTGGACGATTTAGCGCCAAATAGTAGGTTGTCTGACTGTTTTTCTCATCATTTTCCAATGAATCGCCTTTTAATTTACTCAAAAATATGCTTTGTACCGTTAAGGTTGCCATTTTCCAGCTTGTAGGGCTAATATCGATATTCTATGTAGGTCTACATAGATGAAACACGCTTTGCAATCTAGCGCTAGCTGCATACTGAAATCTAATGTGACTAAAACACGAGATGTCCTTTGTAATATTGCATCTTCATGGAATGCAAAACGGTAGGTAGACTAGGTCCTTCGCAGTCGGAGGATTCACTTGGGTTATGTGAGCGAAAGTGGGCTAAACGGGTAATTTAGATCGGCAAAAACTTGGACAAAAGGCGGTTAAAATACCGCATAACTAAGCCAATTTATCTATATTGGCCACTTTCCCTCTTTGCCCATGTCCCTCAAAAATTGTATCGTTCCAATTTTTCAACGGACACTTAACAAACATTACAACCGAAAACAGCCCACTTTGCGCAATTTCGAACGGCAAACTGCCCACGATGTTACCCACATACCCCAGGTCCGAAAAAATTCCCCCACTGGGATAGCCACTTTTTAGAGTTTTTTTCACATTGTGGTTAGTTCTGCACTTCGCCGTAGGTGTGATAAGAAGAGATTTAAGCTGTCAAGTTGCTCTTCATTCCCGGAATCAGATGTGTGCATAAAGCGGTCTTCCTGGTAAAGATCCTGCGTACTGCCTACAGATATGTAACACTACTTAATGATACTCGGTGAGTATGCCGTATTTTTCAGCTTATCACTTCCTATGATGCTTAGGTCGAAGTCATCTAATTAGACGAATAAGATAGACATGTATAAACACAGTAGCCATATTTAACAACTGGTATTTGCTTTCTTTCTTAGCCAAATGATAAGTAATAGTGGGTTGGGTCTAGAGTTATCTAAGAATGGAGGGTCAATCAATGAGGTTTTGAAACTGCACTGATTGGGATGGCTACAACACGTTATGCACGTCAAACCACTGCGTTTGTCGGTGACAAATGCTAACTGATATGCGGTTCGGTTGGTTGGCTATGGGTTTCGCTACTTGGGGAGATGAAGACTGCAATTAAAAGTGTTCTCTGAGCACTTTGTGCTAAATATGGCGCTGAAGATGTTGTCCAGAAGGACGACGAAAGCTTCGCAACTAAACCAACCAGCTCAGAGAACACTTTTAATTGCAAATCATCCACCTGAGTTACAAATCTCTATTATTTTAAGATGAAGACTGCTTCGTGGGGGTCGTCGAGACACTAAGAACTAATGATAAGAGACAGTCAGCAATATGACTCAAAATTATTCTCAGTTGCACGAATGAATCAATTGTTTTTCATTCCTAAACTTATCAGTCTCTCAAACAGGGTAGATCGCTAATAAGCTCAGCCCAAACGAGCGAAGCGGCTGTCCAGTGTTTTGATCACCTCAATATTGATCGTCATTCATGGTATCACATACTGGGATCTGAATAACGTGGTGTTCAAAGAAAATTGTGGCAAAAATTTCACTGCTCGAACTGTGTACATTGCAATTTGAGAGTTCGACCTATTAAATTCTCATTCTTCTCCATGTGATTATTCTTTCCATGGCACATTTCCGCTTGTTGTGGTTTCTGTACAGTTTTCTTCCATACCCTTGTGCGCTTCATGAATTATAGTCACTTGAACTGCTGCACTTCTGTGTGAAGTTCTACATTTCAGTTCACTGCTCAAATATCACAACTCATGGAAACTAATAATAACACTCATCGGATGATAATCATTTCTATTAATGACCTAATTCTGTGCCTTCCTCGAGATATATACAAAGAGCAAATGTATAAGATTCCATTTATTTAAGGTTAAGTAGGATCAGGACTTTTGGGAGATTTTACAAACTAACTTAACAGACACTAACAGAAATGCGCGCTTAATTTCATACCTGCCGTCGCCTATTTTCAAGTTCTACCATCATAACTGTTAACTTTAGTTATTGTTAATGTATTTTTGGAAAAGTTACCAATGAAATAAGTTCCTTGCGCTGTTATACTTAGAATTTTATACAGCACACGAAAATACTGCCGAGATTTGATGAATTCATTAAATCCTGCTATATTAACTTCTGTTGCTTTTCTTTCAGAAGCTTAGGTGTGTTATTACACCTCAATCTTGCAAACACAGGAAGCATTAAATTAGGCCATTTCAGTTTCTGCCGCTGATGGAGGAACTTATCCCTGATTTGGTGGACGATACAGAATCCAATAATTTCAGTTCTGACAAAGTTCCTGTAACGATTCTCTCAGGATACCTAGGTAGGTTTACAATTAATGCTGATTAAATTCTTTATGTTCATTGATGTTGCTTTAAAAAATAGTTTTCTTGACTTTTTGGTTCATTTGATACCTTTAGTCCTCACCATCAGTCTCAGTCGGTTGTTAGGTTGCTGTCTAGTTTGCAAACAGTTAATCTTTCAACGTTGGTTTAATTCATCACCTCAGTACACGAATCATCTTTCGCCTTTGTCTACTTTACCCATTTATTATAATTAGATTAGGAGCAAACAATTGTACACATCTCCGTAGTATTTCTCAATGAGAAATCAACTTGAGACTGTACACAAAGTCCTATCACAACAGTTTATCACGCTTCAAAGCAGAATACAAAAGCGAAGACAATAGAAGTAGGAAAGTACCATAATGGTGAAGCATGAATGTGAGAGGAAATAAATAAATAAATGAAGATAAGAGATGTTCGGATTCCTGAATGTGATGAGATTGTAAGGAAGGTAGTTAATCTGTCCTCTTTCTTTCAATTTTGTGTCATTCTGCTCATGTGATTTCTTAATATGTATGCCATTTGAAAGTGTGACGGTTTGAACTGTTGCACTTTTGTGAATACTTTTGGGCTATTCTTTGAATCTCTACCAACTCTTCTATAATATATTTTAGAAAGCCATCAGTCTTTCGCAGATGAGACTGACATTTCCATGTTTCAATGTTAGTGGAAAAGAGACAATAGCATAGTTGCAAAGTGAAAAATGGGTACATATGCAGAAGTATGATTTTTATGTACCTGAGTGACAAACAAGAAAGGCTGGTCTTGATTTCTTACCATGCATAACATTCCAAAACAGGAGGTGGAATGACTACATTTACAAAATTTACAGGATGATAAAAAGCCATTACTTAGTCTAATGAAGTAGTCACATTTAACAAATTCATTCCCCTTAAGAAAGGAGTCAGCGAAGCTCGTATCCTGCATTTCTTTGAGGTTTCGTTTAAAAGCATCACATAATGCGTGTTCCGAAACAGCGAGACTCTCCAGCGAATTCTTGGCACATTGTAGTCGATTAAATCAGTGCATCTGTATTGAAATTAAATAAGAATGTCAGTCGGCATTCCTGACGAGCACCACTTATAGTCACTTCAAATTACGATTCCCCTTACTCTCTTAAACGGATGCATGAATTTGAATAGAATGACCTTATTAAAATAATACGCTTACTTTGAACTCCCATCATGGCTAAACATTTGCTACGACATCTCTCGCTGCACTCAGTCAATACCGCCCTAAGGTCAAGAAATATGTTGTGTTGTACAACTTCAAGGATGCTTATGTTATGAAAAAGAGCTAAAAGTTTGACCTTTAAATCGTCGCCCGATTCTGAGACTTTTTGTTTCCTGTGATGTTTTTCATCTTTGCACGACCATAAACTCTGGAAGCTTAGATACTAGTTTAGTTAAACTGATTTTACAGTGCTCATAACGGAAAGAATAGTTCCCTTTTTTAGAAAATGGCATAATCAGTAGTCCCCACTGGTTTGATGGGACCATGTTGAATCTCCGTAGTCTACCTAGCACTTCAGTTACCGTAACCAGTAATTCATTACCAAAAAATTATGCCTTGCTGCTTTCTCACATCAGATCAAAGACAGGTTTCGCTAGCACTGTGGAGGTTGAGGACCAACGTCTGTATTCCATTTTGGCTGAAGGTGGGTGATGTGTAGGTGTCGTGCAACTACACACCAGCTACAAACGGCTCCTTAAAGTGTCCTCATCTTCCTAGCCATGAATCCTGCACCACATCTCTTCATGTTTAAGTGAATAAATAAATCAAGCAATCACCACCCTGAAGAAGTTATCAGAGTTTTATGTTCTTACTTTTTATGGCTTTTCTTAAACCTGTTTCCATAATAAGCCGACACAGTTGTGAAACCTCTTCCCTCTCATTCTCCTTCTTTGCCTACTATTTCTTGTGCCTCTTACAAAGAAATTTAGTGGGTTTATTTTTGAACAGCTTCGGCTTCTCGTCATGTTCACAAACCACTAGGAAAAGTCTTCTTGCATTAGTCCGTTAAAAAAAGTGTAGGCTTAAGGACGTCGGTGGCACAGCGGTAGAATGGTCGCCTACCACACATGTGGCTCAGGGTTCGATCCCCGGCCGACACACTCCTTTACCACGCTAAGCTAGTAATAAGACTGGTAAAGAGGAAAGGTTGGGCATGAGGCTAGCAACCCCTTCCCGTAAAAGTAAATACCACTGCTACAGAAACTTCAAAGCTCAAGCTTGAAGCCGTATGTTCCACTGGGAATGCAAAGGAATAAAAAAGTGCGTCACGGCTGTTTGGCATTTTTGTATTTTGGTATTTGAGCGCAATTTTCTATTGATGCTTAAGTCTATGGACTAATGCGGGACTGATAGTCTCACAAGACATCCCAAGAGCTGCGATCTTCCACCATTATTCTCCGTAGATGTTACTAAAAAGTGGTCTGTTTGAATACGTCGTCTGCTTTATTTCAATGATTACTCGTTGATGCAATATCTCTCCATATGCTTGGCTATGAAATATGACGCACTTAAAATGGTATCGGCCTTACATTTTGCATGGGGCAAAATATTTTGCGTATGCAGTACTTTTCGAATTAAAGTTTTGTAAAAAGTTGCGATTAATCGAATAAGCATCAAAAAAGCACTGATAGTGTTTCCTAAATTTCTGTTTTGACGTTCTTCGACAAAGTGTGCCCAAGAAGTCGTTTGGCATGCATATATGTTTCCACTTCTGTTAACTGCATCTTATTCAATTCCTCGTGTTGCTTCTCAAAGGTTACTACTGATAACGACTAGATAGCTACTAAGTTGAAGCACTCGTAGAGACGAAAATTATTTCAGTACAGTGTTTATATGATTATTTGGTGTGATTCGAAGCTATATGTCGCCAAACCTTATATTCAAAGCAGCTTTTCAGTGTGCATTGATTGTTCACTAGTGAGTGAACAACTTTATTTGCCTAGTCCTGACTGAATTCTGTCGGTCAATTTTGCAGGGAAGTTGCCAATGTAGGTGACTTTGAAATGATGTTAAGTAGCTGGAAGCAGTCGGCACTTATCAGCAAGGCGTACCCGCAGACCTAATTAAGAGGATTCAGGATTACTTTCCAGTAACCTGTCTATATAACCTACCAGGGATGAGTAGTGAGGCCGAATCGTTCACTGTTAAAGTAGGTGACTGAGGCACTGGGTAACGCATGTCTGAGCCTCCAAGAGAGAGAGGTTACAGACACGCACTGTTGATGATTACCAATAATCACGAAACCTAGACTTAGGGCTTTCAACCACCTAACATGTGTTTATTAGTGTATTGTTTTCCTTAAGAAATGTGCATAGATGAGTTCCTAGTTTGTATTGCTTGATGCTTTTGCATTTTTTCAGTTTATCAAAACTGATCATTAACTAGGAACTAAGTAGACAATAACCGTTCCATTTTCAAATTATATTCTTAAAGTCTAATTAATTTTTGTCCTTGGTTTACATTTTCAAAATCTCACTAATAACAAAAATTAAATCATGAATTTCAGGTGCTGGAAAGACTACTCTCCTCAATTTTATATTGGCTTCTGCCCACAATAAAAGAATAGCTGTTCTTTTAAACGATTTCGGTGAAGGTTCTGCTGTGGAGTCCACCGTTGCATGGAACGAAAAGGATGGAAATCTTTTTGAGGAATGGATAGAACTGCGCAATGGCTGTTTATGTTGTTCCCTTAAGGATACAAGTGTAAGGGCTATCGAAAATTTAATGAAGAGGAAAGGAAAATTTGATTATATTTTGATTGAAGCATCTGGGCTTGCTGATCCAGGTTATTTTTTTACGAAAAAATATTTCTTTCTGTAAAGGTCCTATCGCTTCACTCTTCTGGTTGGATGAAAGTTTATGCAGTCAAGTTTGTTTGGATGGCATTGTGACGTTGTTGGATTCAAAACAATGTCTATCACATCTTAAGGAAACTCTAGAGAGTGAAATGAGTGAATATGAAAGGTAGTCTAAACTCCTTATACTTATTTTATTAATCCAGACAGATAGTTTTGGCAGATGTACTCATTGTTAACAAAATTGATTTAATTTCTGAGTCGGAAAAATTAGCAGTTGTTCAGCGTATAAAGTAAGTCATTTTATTGAGTAAAGTAGACGCTATCTACTAACTCTAATTTTGAGTGATTTTATGGTATTTTTTTAGCAGAACGTTCAGTTTCATTGTCTTAGTAGTTATGCTTTTTCATTGGTGGATTGTTATCTTTCTGGACACAAAAGTCTTCTCGAAATCACTGTTGGGTTTCTGTGGTGAGTGTCAATAAGCGGTGTTCAAATAGTTGGACACCTGGTCCAATACTTTTTGCAAAAAAACTAAAAATACTTCAACAGACGTTTCCTGTTATTTTTAAAATTTTTCTTCACCGCCTATTCTTTTTTCTATTGGGTTAATATTTAACACGCATTTCAAATCTTCGATATACTAACCCAAGAACAGAATATATTGCTCAGTTAGATTATTTCCGTAAATTATAGAGACTTATGTATGTATGTGTATGTATGTGTGGAAGCAAACAAGGAGAAGTAAACTTCTCTAACTGACTATCGACCTGTTCTTGTCTAGTGTAAGCTTTTATTGAAAGGCAAAAAGTATGTACCAAATAATAAAGCATGGGCTTTAAAAGTCCTGCTGTGCAATATTTTAATGACAAGAAAATATATGAATTTATAAAGAAAGGAATAGCCATTTTGGATCAAAATGATAAACCTTCATTGCTCTCTTATGCCTGATTCAAACAGAGAGATATGTAAAAATTGAGGAGACAGCAGCACTATCTTTATTTCCGAATCATGCCAACGGGTTCTGTTATCTTCGTTGTTCTACTCTACAGGTTAAAGTGCATTAACAGTTTCTCGAAAGATAACTTAATTTGACTGTGGTGCATTATAAAACGGCTACTTCCCAGCCTTGTCAATAAGTCTTACGAATATAAGCAACAGTATGCCGTATATTAAAGGTATACGCTGCAATAAGACTGGCTTACTTCAAGACATTACGTCACAGAACTAAATGAAAATAGAAGTGAGTTATGTGAATTGGGGACATCGAAAATAAAAGAAAACTAATATGGTGCTCTTATTTTAAAGGTAGATTTTGAGCCATATTACTGGTTTTCCCCTGATTTATAACTTCTCACGGGCTACAGCTGAGCAGTTTCTACCACCATCCACTGGTTGGAACGGTATTCAGTCACTTCACGGCTTAGTATCACCCCCTGCGTGGCTGTCTGCGTTTGTTTTCTAACCTTGGTAAATGAACTTATATAAAGCTATGGTATGTAGTATGTAATGTATATGTGTAGTGTAACAGTGTAGTTCGTGAAGAAATGAAATGAATAACTGAAAACCTTATATTTACGCGTGTTAATTCGAAAATTAAAAAAGGAAACCAAAGGCTTGACACTTGTTGTAATTTGCATTTCGACATTATATACCGATTAGTGTTTTATCGTGCAATTGTGTCTATTCAAACCAGACTCGTTTTCATCGCTGTTACTAATTAAGAAGTCTTATCTGATATTTGATTTGTTATTCAACTATGAAGCGTTTTTAGATCGATTATTAGATTACTTTTAACGATTTGTTATACACTTTTAGCTTACTGTAATGCCCTCACTTTTTGTCGTCTTTTGGGTTTGGGACATCCCTTATCTTCATTCATTCATTGTATTTCCTGTTAAATCCTTGTGTTCCCATTCTACAGTTATTGTGTTTATATTCGATTCACTTCTGAGTTGTTAAGAAGTGGGAAAAACTGAACTGTTATACTTTAAAAAGTTTGTTTAATGGCATTCAGTATTAGAACTGAAGCTGCAAAGCGTAATCAATGGTTGGTTAGTCTATTCAGCCTACATTTTAGAATTCCAAGTCTAATATTGGTTTTCTTCTTACAGTTAGTTTGGATACTGGTAGCAAGTTTTGCTTTTTAATATGGATACCCATCGCAAAAGCTAAGGGGAAAAGCTAGTTAAATTTTACTTCAAAATTTCATTGACTAACAGTGTTTACATCATCCCTGAAAATTCGTTATGTGAAGAATTTTCAAGTATTGGTTACGTAGGGATTTTGTTTGATTGGTTGGAGGGTTTCATCATGAGCTGACATCAGTTAGAGAAGCGTGCTGGACAGCTGTTTCGTCGTAGTTCTGGGCTTTCCAGCAGTACGCACCTACACATGGGATTCGAACCCATGACCCTCTGATTACAAGGCGAGCTCGTAGACCATTAAGCCACTGCGACCCTATTCAGTGGCCAGCCCACGGATTCTAACTTCTGGCAATTCATAACACAGGGCGGCCACTCCGTCATATTTTCTTCGATGAGTTACTGCCGTGCCCTGCGTTCGAACCCCGGTGGGCGAAGAGTCCCAAACTAAGACGAAACAGCTGTCCAGTACTCCCTGGTTTTCCAATGTTTCTGTAACTGATGCCAGCTCATGATGAAACCCTCCAACCAATGTAGAGAATTATCTACAAAATGTTCAGCTTACTGGCACATCAGTCACATAGATTTCACGATTGGCATTTTTATTTTTGAAACTTAATTCACGAGTTCGTAAAATTGTCATTGTGGTTGGCATGAATTTTTAAACTTTTTTAAACTTTTCTGTTTCGTTGTTCGTTTTAGAGAGATTAATTCTTCTGCGAAAATTATTGAAGCTACCTATTCCAAGTGAGTCTCAGTATTTTAAAAATGTCTCGTTTTAAACGGTCATTCCAAAATATTAGGAAAATGATTAAGTAACCAACAAATTTTTTCAAATGGGTGTAGGGCTACTATAATGGAAACATTAGTGTACCTGTTAAAACTCTGATCTTGCTAATCATCTAATAAGAATTTCGTAGAACGCTGAACAGTGATTTTGTTCAACGAAGATTATTTAATATATCCCCTAAGTTAACACAAATCATATAATAATTGTCCACACTGACTGCCGATCGATGAACTATTATTTAAACATGTTACTAGAGCCAAAACCCGAAGACTGTCTTCTCTTTCTGAGAGGAAAGTATATAAAAAGCCGACATTGCTTACTGCTGTTCATAGTCGACAGGGAGGAAACCCTACGTCTCTTGGGCTCTGTGGTCAAACCAAACTAGTCCTTTCTCTCCTTCAATTATTCGAACAGTAAGTCCATTACCATGTTGTAGACAGTTGTACAGTACCAACGCCTATATGGCTAGTGGAAATGTGGCTCATTGGCTTAAGCACTAGACTTTCAGCTGATGGATCCCATGTTTGAATCCCGCTCCACCTAATTCAGCCTGGGTAACTGGGTAGTATCATCAGCCCTCATACAATAATTGTGTGGCTCATAGCCTGTTACATCAAAAATCTGTTCCGAGTCACTGTGAAAATTAATGTAATCTATACATGCCTACGTGAGCACCCACTGTTCTTTGGTTCAACGCTTATTCTCGTTGTCTTAGTGTCCTTTTCACACTTTATATTTTCCAACTGCTACTAGTGCTTCGCATACAGTCTCTTCTTATTCTCTCAACTTAGAGACTATGAACATAAGAATATAACTGGGGAACTGTTTTTATTTTTTTATTTTGATTACAGCTTGATTCCACACCGTATTTTCAGTACAAGTATGGAATTCTCAGCATGGATATCGGTAGTCCAAATTTTGCAGGCCGACCATAGATATCGGGTGTGCGCCGGCAGGGGATCGAACCCCGGACCATGTGCATGGTCGGCGAGAGTCCTAACCACTGTGCCACCGACGCACATAATTCCATCAGAGTAAATTTATTAGAAAAAAGGAGCACAAAGTTATACAGTATTATTTACTGATGACATTTCGAGAACATTATACTGGTCATAATCCTTTCGAAGTACTCGTACGGGTTCAATCATTCTACACTTACCTAAATTCTTATCTTTCGGAAGTCTTACTGCCCTCAACCTGCCAATCTGACATATATAGATGGCCTCAGTCATTGCAAGGTATTTTTTAAACTACATTAATTTGTTACAGAGAATCAATACGATTCTTTAGCCTATAGAACTTGTTCGTGAGTTTTTAGGTTTAAATGCCACTCTGATCTCTCCTTTGTTAAGAATCCTATGCGAGGCTATTGATAACCCTTCCTTATATGATAAAACTATGGGTGCAATAAATTCCATCTTGTTTATGTTATTGTTAATTACTGAATCTTTGTTCATCGGATCTACACCTAACATGTGCAACGGTAATGACGTGACATCAATACCGGAGATATAAAAAAATATTACCGCCAGTAAAATGAAACTATAAGCAATAATGGAATACATAAACGAAGTTTGAGGGTTATGAGAGCGCCTTGGTATGATTATGAGCAATAAATAATACTATAACAATGGGTGCGAAATTTTTCAGATAAATTTATTCCATGATGAAATCCGTGACTATCGCTTAATTTATGGAAACTCTACTCCTGGTTCGTTAATACCACGTTGTCAACCTCACATTGAAACTTTCAATTTTCTAACCTTATTCTGAATCGGATGACAGGTTTCCTAACCGCAACTCTGGTATTTTATGCATTAGAACACTACTAATTGCATTAGGTGCATGTTGAGTCCCTGAGACGTACACACAGGGCACAAATTGTAATTATTTGCTCATCCCCATGTAGTCAACATTGGAAAGCCTCGCTATCGATGTCTGCTGCATTTCGGATACCCGCTTTCAAGATCCCAGAGAAGTGCTTCGATCATCCTCTCCATCTGGAGGTTTGAACAGTATGTGTCACCGGCGCTTGTCTGTGGACCATGTGGCGTCGACATCCGGCGTAGCTGGTGTCGGTGTCGCACTAAGCTCTAGGGCCAAAGCTGCATTACTCGACTGGATCTCCATTAACAGTAATTTATCTGCTATTAGGCTGGAAGGTTATACGAAAGTAAGAGGTGGTAGGCCAGATAGGCAGTGTCTATTTGCTGTCTCTGCCTATGCACCAGCGGATTGCAGCCTGGATGTAATTAAGGATGAGTTATACTACCAACTGAGCGATCCCTTGAAACAGGCGCGTCGGAGGGATATTGTAGTGCTGGCTTGGGGCTTGAATGCACAGGTCAGGTGTCTAAGCTAAGAGGAGAATCGTCTAGGTGGTCAGTGGGGTCTGCATAGTCGCAGGTCAGATAATGAGTACCGTCTTCTGCAGCTTCGCGCAGATCACAACCAATTTCTAGCCAGCACCAACTTCTGGCACAGCCATTGGCGTAGCGCTACCTGGCATCCTTCTCCTGCGGGTCAAGCTTGAACTCAGATTGGTCATATTGCTGTCAGTTTCTGGTGGCGAGGATGCATACAGGACTGCCGCTCCTACGGGAGCATATGCCTGAACTCCGATCATGCTTCAGTGTGTGCCAGGATCGTCTTGCGATTTTGTGGGGTCCATGAACTGCATCATCTACATGTTGATGTGAGCTACTGGTAGCACCTGTTATCTCTTTGAAATACCAGGCTGAGTTACAATCAATGCTTGATAGCAATCCCCAATTAGTATAGATGAACATTGGCTTCATCTACAAGGTGCGATGCAAATGGCGGGTGTAGCCGCTTGCGGCTTAAAAGAATGCTCTGCTAAAAACCACTGGGTTTCTGTGAGTTCCTTGCAACTCCAGGATGAAAGCCGGTCTATTCTGGCTGACAGCGAATACAACAATAGGCGAAAGGCGCTTACGCGCAAGACTAGACAGTGTTTACGTAAGGACGGCGAAGTCTGGTGGTCAGAACGTGCGTGTAAGATGAAGTCAGCTGCTGCATCTTGCAACAGTCTGAAGCTGTTCCAGCTTATCCGAGCCACCGGCAGCAAGAAACAAGGTGTCGGCAAGACGGTCTGTGAGGCAGATGGCACGCCAATTACCAGCCTGAAAAGACGCTTGGAACGCTGGGCAGAACACTTCGAGAAACAGTTTAGCTGGCCACCAGCTTCAGTGCTCTTTGTTCGGTCAGTACCAACCCAGTAATCTAGGCGGAGGTCCGGAAGTAATTCCAAGTACTGGAACGCCATAAGGCACCCATCCTAGACAATCTACCCCCGGCTTCTTTTAAAGATGGTGGCGAGACTCTTGAAATGACTTTAACTGGATTAATCAGAAAAGTATAGGAGACTGAGAATGCTAATAAGTTTGTGTATCTGGATAGTTGTGTGAGTACTGGTGGAGGAATAGTGGGTGAAATTTCCAACCGTTTCATGAAGGCTAGGGCGGCATACAATAATTTGAACCACCTCTGGCGCCGTCGCAACGTTAGCCTGGCTCTCAAAGGTCGGGTATGTAATGCTTCGGTGCGGGCTATCTTGCTCTACGCCTGTGAAACCTGACCTCTCCGATCTGAGGATGTTCGGTGGGTATTCGATCGTTGCTGCAATTTCCTTCTTTCTTCCTTCTCGATGATAGTTGGTGAAAGCTGTTTGAACTTGTTAAGTATGACTGTTTCCTTGCAGATGAATTTCTTTATCCGTTCTCCACCTGTATTTTTACTTTTAATCTATGTTGTTTTATTATTACTGTGTGCCGCATCTTCTTGGTGCCACATTGTACGAAGTATTTTGTGTTTGATTAAAATAATTGTAAAATAAGACAATCCAATTCACTCTATATGCATAAGAAGGTTCTTTGACTAATTTTCGTGAACGAACTGATGTATGAATAGCATTAGACTCTCTAGATCATGAAAGATAAATATGAAACACAGCTTTTACTTTTTAACCCTCTTTTACGCACTAAATGATCGGGGTTTAAGTGAAGTGAGGTTCGGGCTCGCAAACTGTTTATTTTGCCTCGCGAATGAAGACACTCAGATGTAACCAGTGTTAATGGGTGTTATTTATCCTAAAGTGGAAAACGTAAAGCAACTTGGATAGCATGTTTTTCAGAACTGTAAAATCCCAGTGATATTAGAATAGAATTTCAGCACTGTGACAATATAATTCCAGTGTGATACTTAAATAACATGAACCTGGTCCTCAAGGCATTAAGAATCAGTGGTCCAGACATTCTTAGTGGTATGTTTTTGAAAACTACTTAAAATGTTGCATGTGCTCCCATTTCTCATCACCTTCAGGACTCCGAACATCTCTTATCTTCATTTAGTTCTTTCTTTCCTCTCACACTCATGCTTTACCACTATTGTACTTTCCTACTTCTATTGTCTTTGCTTTTGTATTCTGCTTTTAAACGTGATGTGTACAATTGTTTGCTCCTAATCCAATTATAACAAATGGGTAAAGTAGACAAAGGCAAAACATGATTCGTATACTGAGATAATGGTGAATAAAACTAATGCTTTTTGTAGGGTTTTCGACTTTCTGGTGGTCTGTAGTTCTGGATCTAATAAAAGTTCTTGTTGTTTCGTTTATTATTATTTAGCTGTAATATATTCAAATTCTAATTTTTTTTCTTTGACTTTTTTCAGAGTGGATTTAGCGAATATTCTCGATCTTAAGGTGTACTCTGATAGGTAAGTCTTTGGAGAGTTTATTTAGGTGAACTGCTCATCATTTTTTCCTGTTATTGTATATTAGTAGTCACAGTTTTAACTGTTAAAGAGGCTTCTTTGGGTTTGCATTCTGACTCGTAGGATTTTAGCTGTTAGATAACTTGCACCTTTTTGTGGTGGTGGTAGTACTTAAGATTAAAACTGTTATGTACCTGATTGAGCTGGTCATAAAGTATTATTTTTTCATCACTACTACTAATTTATTGGTATTTGGACTGATTTTCTATGCCATAATTTGAAAGGTGTATTCACTGTGTTAATGAAATGTCTGATGTGCATTTCAACGGGCATGACAAAATAACGTTTTGTTTCATCTATTCCATGCTACCAGGGAATATTAGCAGCCCAGGAAACGTGTTATTTCTTTACTCCCAACATATACTTCCCACAACATCACAAAAACTCTAATTATTGGAGATGAAATATTCGTCCCGCCAACTTCTTAAGGCCATACAGTTATATATCTACATTATTTGAGGAATAAATGTTGTCTGGAACAAACTTTTTATACAGCACAGTGTGATCCAAACTTATCGTTTATGAGTGCCTGTTCTACTACTCAGGTGCTAAGGTTTAGGTAGTTGGAGCGGGATTTAAACAAGAGGCGAATTTATTTTTAGAATACGCATTCATTTTATACATGAATAACTTAGTAAAGTTCAAGGTGCTTAATCGTCGTAATAAAGTGGATGCAATCTTAAATTCTACAAGTAGAAAATGGTTTTCTGAAGGTTGAAAGCGACATGCAGTTTCAAGATATCCATGTTAGATATAGGACTGGAGGTCAGTATTTTGAAAGCTTCTCACCGACAACTCAAAAAAGCACAGATAGGCTTCGAATGCAAACAATGGCAAAAGCGTGACAAAGGTGACAACACCAAAGATAAATAAAAATAAAACGTAGGTCCGTGTACAGCAAGAAAGTCAAAAAGGAATATGTTGCTAGAAATATGATTATAGTTTGTAATAGTAAGCGCGGAGTTATAATCTCTTCTGAATTGTTGTCTCACTGTTTGTGCGAGACCTGTGACGTTACCTGGGCACCCAGAACAAAGCAGCTGGTGGTCTTAAGGAACCAACCCTCTAGCCTTTGACTTGAAGTTCCATTCACAAGACAGTGTAGCTGCGTTCCCATCGTTACCGGTGTCCTAGACGGTTTCATGCACCATTCGGATTCTGGAGCCCATGAACACCACACGTTTAGAATCAGGGTTTTCCATCTCTAGGTAGATCTGGATATCAGTCTTGCCTATACTTATTCCACCATTTGTTGTTTTCCCAAACAATTTCATCTGTTCCGATGTTTGTGTCGCTAAGTTTTTCTAAGTAAACCTTTTGTTTTCTCAATTTATTTTTGTTTATGCGATATTACTTTCCTTTATGCTGTCATTCACTCAACTCATTTTATCTTTTATATGTTAAAAATCTCACGAAAACTTTAGAATTAGACTGAATTCACTTTGAGTATTAACCATGACTGTTCAATAACATATTATCATTTACGGTCGTTTAATTTTAAATACATTCTTTTATGATACTTGACTCGTAAAAGAAGTGATCTCCCTGGGATAAAACTCTGATTCTTTGATGTTTAAGTCAGTGTTTTAAAAACTATACTATTGTTACCATGTATATATTCCCTAACCAATATGTACAAATAACTTCGGTCGAAAGAAACTATCGCAATGAATATTCTTTGTTTGCTAGTCGGTGTTTTAATTTTTATCTCGTCCAGGATAATTTACTACGATTTAGCCATTCCGTGCATATTGGGTCCGTTTGTTGTATTCTTGTACTGACTAATTTACATCTCCACTGCTACGTCGCCAAAGTCCAAGTAGGCTCAAAGCAAGAGTGGACAACTCTCCTAATTAGGATCATACTTTGGCATGGCCACATCTGACTTTCCCAGTTTGATAACGCCTCAGCTAACAACCATCGACAAAGAAGGTAATGGTCGATGGAGTGTGTAGCTACCTTTTATCGATGAAGCTTCATAGTCACCTATTAACTCGCCAAACCTATTGTTTCTTGTCATGTTGCCCTACCCAAGTTGAGCAATTGAACGAAAACATCTTCAGTCGGAGCCTCATATACTCTACCTTCAAAAAACATGCCTCACAGATATAAAATAGGACAGAGCGAACTGTTGTGTATGATGTACGCCTTTTGAAAAGTAGCCGTATATGCCGTATGCTTTGAAGGTAACACAATTTCATAAATACCAGGCGAATCTTTATTGCCTGTTGTGAAATTTCGTCGAAAACCAGTTAAGTTGTTACACGTTCCATAATAACTGAAGTGGTCACTAAGCATTTCACTCTCTACCCTCGAACTAAAAGTTGGTACAGATCAGTCTTGCAGCATCATCTTACATCTGATATGAGCGAAGCAACTCCCCAGTGGAAAAATTTGTGTACTTCATTGATTTGTTGTGTTCTTATTGTTAATTCACTTAACGATTAAATGTCAGTTTGTATTTCCAAAAATATTATTATAAATTGGTTTTTGTTGTAGCCCCAGACCAGATATCTTCATTCCATCTACAGAATTGACAACAAATCACTTAAACCATGTATGTTAAGTTACACATTGTTGGAAACTATTACTTTTAGAAAGTATCTACAGTGACTTTAGAGTTCACTCATCCATTTAATCGTAAACTGTTTGAAAACTGTATAGAATCCTTGCTTTGGGAACACGATGTTCATGGTAAAGATGGAAATCCAATGAATATTCTACGTCTGAAGGTAATATTTTTTTATAGTTATACGAAGTTTTTGAGACTTTGAACCTCTTTACACACATTTTTTTACGTACGCTGTTTTTGCCTCTGTTACGCTTCTGTTTGTGTTATTGACAAGCGTACCACTCTTGAGTGGTTCACGATTATGTGACGCTTTTCGTTGTTTCGTCGCCTAGTTGTCATTGCTGTTGATCTTCATAGCGGTCACTATTTGTCATTTTTATTAGGAATATATATTTATTATATCCCCAGGTTATTTTACAGCGAAAAACGTTCAAAAGAAAATGTAATATTTTCATACCCCTAGTTTTGCAATCTTTGTTTCCGTAATTATGGGTTAACAGTCAAAGGGTTAAGTTCTACGCAAGGCTGTGGAGCAGAAGTACTTCTCAATTTAACCGTTATTTCATTTAATTAGTCGAGCAATTTAAAATTATTTGATGTGATTGCGTATGCTTCTTCAACTTTTAGATTAAAAAATTAGAATTTACGTATGCGATCACAGTACTATTCAGACATAGTTCTCTGTTTATCTGAAAACTCTATTCTTATGTGTCAGGTATTAAACCGTTGAAAATAAGATTTAAAACCAAACGTCATTACATTGCATGATATATATATATATATATATATATATATATATATACAGTCTGTCGGTTGTCCTTCAAATAAGTTTAAGCTCAATTTCGAGGGTAAATGTTTGACCAAACGATTTGGAGTCATATAGTGCTGTTGCTGTTATGGACGCTAAATGCTGACTGCCGTATTTGGTTTAAAAAATGTTATCAAGAAACATTCAAATGAAACCAAGTAGAAATCTTGTAGACGATGAAAGTTTCTGAATTTGTTTGTGAAAGTGATCATTTGTAGGCAGCGTGTCGTGTGAACGATTTTATGAGTGAAAATGGTTTATTCAAGGGTTAATGTACGCTAAAGCAATAACTCAATATATCCCCATCTTGATGCGAGCAGTGACCTAAATCCTAAGAAATTCAAGCTGTGTTATCGATACTGGCGAATACTGCAGAATTCGTTTATTTTATAAAAACCAACTTCTAAATTTTTCAGATCTATCCCAGTTAGATATGTTCTCGCAGTCTGTAATTCAATTCATTTAAGCGACATGATCTAAGTACTATTCAATCTATAGTATGAGCTTTATCCGTGACTATGTACAGGGGTAATTTTTAAGGCTTCTTAAATAAAAGTTAAAGTTTAGTCTTTGAAACAAGCTATGAAAATATATCGGTTTACAAATAAAGATACTTCAAACTAATTGTTCAGACCGATTATCTTTAATGTCGTGATGGTAGTTTTACTGGTGCAACTGTAATCTGTTTAGTGGTCATTTTATAAGTCCTTCTGTACGATATATATGACGAATATTTTCATGTAAACATGGGTTGTTTTCTCTTTCACAGGGATTTGTCCATTTTGCGGATGACGGTTGTATTTACGCCCTTCAAGGATTGAATGAAATATACGATCTTTCTCCTATACCGAATAACAGAGTTGACTTGCTCAGTTTGAAAGGAACAAGGTTGATATTCATCGGTAATTTGAGAAAATAAAATTATAATCATTCGTTTAGGTAAGAATGTGTGTTCGTCAACTTTGAAAGAGTTACTAATCAATTGCATATGATAAGAAAACACATCTCCATGGGACAGTTTGTATATAGTTGGTATCTTATTAATACACTTTTATACTTAAAGCCATCTTTTACTTGTCTTTTACCGATAATTCAAAAACATCACGAGATATACAGTTATTAGATAATCTATCGAAAGTAGATAGATGGCATTATGAAGAAATATAATGGAGGCGAAAAATTAGCTACTTAATAGAAAAGAATTTGTAATATTGAATATACTGAAAAAGTAGTCGAGTGAGAATTACTAATTCTTCTGCCGCCTTATGTCGTTAGAGAACAACCGTGTCGATGCCATACATTGCTTCTTATCATCCTTTATGTAATGTCACTCTAAATACTGTCTGCTTTCATGTGTGACAGATGTACATTTAATTCCAATCACAGGTATGGTAGTGCCACTATTTGTGCGTCCCACTTAACTCCATCCACTCCACTTCACAAGTGTATCCATATCAAACTGCATTTAATATGTATCGTTTATTCCTAATGACTATTTAGTAGTGTTGGCGGTTAGAATTTTCCGGATTTCATAAAATAGTGTTTCGGTTTGGATTTTGTTATCGTACATGTTGTGGATGCCTACTGGTTGTGGTAGTTTCAGGCTGAAAGCTCATAATGTTGTATCATTTACATTCGCATGCCTAATCGTAGTTTGCTAGTTATCACCGGACCGATAAATTCTACCTGAGAAAGGGGTACAGCCTTGTATATCATAGTGACACAGTGAACCGTATTGACCAGAACAAATGTTCTTGCAGGTCCCACCATGCCAGAAATGTTGTCTGGTTAGCGGTAAGACTAAAAGCATTTTCCGTCATATTGTACATCATTCACAGTATGTTGGGAGGTTTGAGGGGGAATTAGTACTATTGGCAAATAGGGGTAAGACGGCTATAACGTGTTCCCTTCGGACAACCGGCAAGCCACCTGTGCTACCTTTGCTCTAGAAAGGGTGGTCAATGCCCAAAATTTTACATCCTTACTTTCTCTACGGAGGTTCGTAGATGGTCTTCATATGGACATGACAGCAAAACGCACCTTAAACAGATCGTATGTGAACAGCCACAAGCAGTTTTCCCCTGCGTCCTGCTGTCACGCTAAGAAGAAGTCAACTTCCAAGGTGTGAGCAGCACACAAAGCTTTCTTGATCATCACATCATCTTTTTGCTTTCTCTTATTGTTAATACCATTACACAGGTAGATCGCTTACCTTTTCTTAACTCTGCAACCATCACTAGTGTTGAGAGCCGGGAAGACACTACTGATAGTATCTTAAGTCCATGCTGCCAACTTCATATTGTAGCATTTAACCTCAGGAACCTTTTTCATCAGGCTACACTAGCCAGAACTCTGGTGTCTCGAGCCATGGATATTGTCGTGTTTGGAGACACTCAAAAGAGACCACTATGGTGGCTCATGTAACCCCAGCTGGTCAACATATAGGGTCTGCAAAATTTACATTACGGGTGTCAGCTATTTCTCGTGAGCTTTGAAATGTAGGGATGTGTGCTATCCGACCGAATGGATCCGGTAGATTAAGGAAAGGTTGTGGTACCCATCAGTCTCTCTTGGTGTTCTCCGCTTTCGCCTTAGCGGACTACAAGTTAGACGAAATGAGTATGTTCTACCAAGGCTGTTTAGTTTGATACTGAAAGTAAAATCGCCAGGTATTCGTTTTAGTGAGTAACTTCAGTGCGGGGTCCGAATATGACATGGAGTTGAAACTGCCCAAATGCGAACTTACCAAAAGTTTCCATGACGACCATGAACACTGGTGGGTGAATAAATTCAGCGATGGGAAGAGCATCAGGAGTATTGTAGAAGGTTGCGATAGACGAACCATAAGTGAGACAATCTCCAACAAATACAAGGCTTTAATTATCTGTAAAGACATAATACTCGAACGTTGGAGGGAGCAGTTTAACTGGTCTACAGCTACACTCAATTTACGTAGCATCCAACACCTAACTGAATGGGGTGTAGATATCTGTTCTCCTTCTGTAACTGAGGCTACAAAGGTTGTCTCTAATCTGAAACAAGACAAAGCAGCAGGACTTGATGGAAGGACGATAGTGACAGACTGTTTCCTTGTCTAACTAGGACATCTTCACCCTTCAGCAGATTGTGTGACACAGGCATACACATCGGTTCTCACTGCTCACCATATTTCTTGGCCTGGCTTTGGCATTCAACTCCATCGATCAGGAGGTGTTTAATCGTGACGATAGTACCAAGAATGTACATCACACTAATCAGTGCACTTAACTCGAATCCAGACAGTCGTGTAGTAGAAGGTTTTCATTTGAAGTTATGTATTTACACTGTGAAAAAATTTGTTTGATTTCACCATATGCGTGCAAAGGGATGCTAACCCAAATGATTTTATCGACTTGTTACCAGGGAACAGTTCTGTCGACTTACAGTGTGATGATATTGTCCTTCTAGATGACGACGCTGACAAAATGCATAGTCTTCTGAATACCTTGAGCAAAAATCTTTGGATGTTTGGCATGCAATTTGCCCCTGTTAAATGTAAGATGATACTGCTGAACTGATCTGTACTGAAGTCCAGCTGGGAGATAAGGATCTATTACTGAAGAAATATCAGCCCGGTTATGAAAGACTCGTGTGGCATTAGCCAGCTTACGTTATGTCTTTAGTAGGTGGGATATCTAGTTATCGTTCAAAAGACGAATGTACTGTGCGGCGTAGCTGCTGAAAGGGGAAAATATGGAAAAGCTAACTGTCTTCGACCAATATTGTTTCCGTTGTATTTCTCGTGTTAGTTAAGTAGTATAAAATAGTGAGTGATGTTGGGTCGAACTATGGCCTTTCTCGTCTACCAATGTTTTGTGACAAAGGATTAGATAAGGAAAGAGTTAGTCTTAGTCATACCGAAAAACTTTTATTAAAAAAATGAATTGCTTGACTGCTAGTTCGAGTGACGTGGCGTGATGCGCACTTCCTGGTTTGGGTACATGAGGTACTAGGATCCAACGACTGGAGCCTATTGGCGATATGGATTCCGACCGCCACGATATGTTAACTCTTCCTAATCTCTCGGATAATTTGCATACTCACTATTTTCCATGCTACATGAAGTGTGCCAACTTGAACTGTTTCACTTCTATACAAAGTTACACTCTAAAGATCAGTCAGTAGTATTCATCAAAAGTAAATGAGGGAAAGCTGAACTCTCATAGCAAAAACTACAGTGACCATAAACAACAGATCGGGTTTCATATGCAAAACAGTCACATTGCGGAAATGATATTAATACTCAAGTTGTAGCTTATGTGTTGTTAGAATGTCTCCAATCACTACACAGATAGTCTATAGAGAAATCGCACCATGCGTGATGCATCCATTCATACAAGTGACTGTAGGTTATGGTACTTTGGGATCCATTGATATTTCTGACACTTCTTCAACGTAATCCTAGCCTTAACCTTAACTGTAGACCCGAAATCTTCAAACCCATAACCCTACCTACTAGTATAGATTTGCAGAAAAAGTATCTAGTGAATGAGTAGAATACTGTATCTACCCTCTCCAAGTCCAAAAAATGCAGGCATGATTTGATTTGGAATGACAGTTCATAGCATTCTCTGTATCTGGTTGGTGTTCTTGGAGGTCGACTTTTGAAAGACCTTGACTTCAGCTATGACACAAACTTCGCCGAAATGATAACTGATTGCACATTCGTTCATTAATTGCCTGGACTCCCTCTGTATGGAGTGATATCTTACTTTACATAAGCCCTACAATGCTGTGTTACGGAATCGAGAAATTTATATGGAACAACTTTGTCGCTCACAGAGATTAGTTTTCTGTGCACTGCCTTTTATTTAGAATATAATCTGTCTATTTATGCAGTTCTCTTTTGCATTTAGTACCCAGTCAACCAGATAAATCTGCATCTAACTAACTCTAAACCTCTTTGTTGATAGCGATTTTACTATAAGTGAATCGAATACAATAACTGGAAATGTGAAAGAGAAACCTTAAGTGATGCTGCTGAAGCATTTCACTGTACTTATGAATGAATATCTGGTTTGAGAACACTGATACATTACTGATTATGTGTTGAAGCGATGAGGCGTTGACGGCAAGTCAAGGTGTGACGTATTTAGAGTAAACTTTGTTACCTACGTATCCTAAAGTACGAGGCATTTGAGATGTGTTTATCTATTTATTTGATATCCTATCCCTTTGAGCTTTAGTTTCGTTAGCGATAGCTTTATGTTTATTGGAAGGTTTGCTAATCTCACATTCAAACTTCTCTCTTTACCAGGCATACTACAAGTTAGGTCAGGGTTAGGAGTGCTTCAGCCGAGGGCTTAATCCTAGGCTTCATGTGTGGTTCCAGGGATTCTACCCTTGCACCAGCGACGCTTGAGCGATGTTAATGTCTAATATTTCACGACAACACTCTTGGTAACTGATGTCGTACCCTGATGAATTATCAATCCAATTAACTATTTAGGTATACAGCATCTGCACTTTTTTCACTCGTCATCGTCACAAACTTTTCATTCTTTTGGTGTTGCACAAATGAACCGTGTATGCTTATGAAGAAAACAAATTTAGGAAAAACCATTATAGGTGAAACGACTCCCAGTGAAGTGGAATTCCTGATTACTCCTCAGATTTGATTGGAGAATAGAACTTGTGCATCGTGGTAGAGTATTCCATTCCATATAATTATATAAACGAAGTTAGAAAGTTGTGTGAGTAGCTTGATATAATTATGAGCAATAAATTCTGCTCTGAATGACACCTGTATAACACTATAAGACTATATCAAAATGAATTTTAACCATAATGGAATTCTCATATTCGATTACATTTTTGTTCATTTATTTTAGAACAGTCTTGTAAGAATATGGACATGCAGATGTTCACCACAGGAACGATGAATAGTTCATGAAAAGCGATACTTTGAAAAGCCGTTCAATTGGTGTACAGTTGCTCTATATACATCGAAAATTCAACTTCATTCAAAATGGCAAAAAGACATGGGTGCTTATCTCCAACAATGGACGCGCGACTTCTCTAAAA